TATTGAGGATGATGCAGAGGTAGAAAATCTGTCTGAAGACTCGGATGCCGAAGTTGAAGTTAGTATACAATTAAAACAGTGGTTACGCAGCTCCTAACAATCTCCTTGCGCTGCAGTATCAACCGACAAAGCTCCGGCACAAAAAGGTGACCGAGTTTGAGAAGGGATTCGAGTTCGTATCCTCGGTGAAGGAATACAATCAGGACACTTGGGATGATCTGATGAAATATGTCAAGCGCAAGGCACGTACAAAGACCGACGACAAAATTGCTGCACGCCTGCAGCAACGAGGTGGCGCCGAGGCTGTGGCCGCAGAGCAGAGCGACGAGGAGATTGCGCTCTCCGATGATGAGCTGAAACACGATAATCTGCGACTACGTGAAAAGAAACAGAGCAAAAATAAAAAGAAAAAAACCGGAGAAGATGACCTAGACGAAGAGGAAGGCGAAAAAATGCAATTCGATGACACTGTGGAAGCCAACGACCTGATTACCTCGTTCTATCAAATGAATCTGTCGCGTCCGCTTATGCGCGCCATCGGCGTGCTCGGCTACATTTATCCCACGCCTATTCAGGCGTCTACTATACCCGTGGCGCTGCTAGGTCGCGACATCTGCGGCTGTGCGGCCACCGGTACAGGCAAAACAGCAGCTTACATGCTGCCAACAGTGGAGCGTCTGCTTTACCGGCCGCTAAACAACAAGGCTATTACGCGGGTTCTGGTGCTGGTTCCCACGCGTGAGTTGGGTGCCCAGGTCTACCAGGTGACCAAGCAGCTGTGCCAGTTTACCAGCATTGATGTGGGCCTGGCCATCGGTGGACTCGATGTTAAGGCACAGGAAACAGTGCTGCGTCAGAATCCGGATATTGTGATTGCTACGCCGGGTCGTCTTATCGATCACATCAAGAATACGCCGAGTTTCAGCTTGGATTCCATTGAGGTGAGCGAAAACTGAGATAAAATGCAAAAACCCAGACAAAAGATGATGAATTTCAATCCTTGCGCTCCGAGCTTTTCGAAGCTATGCGGATAAAACTCTGGTACTGCGCTGCAGCTGCAAGCTGATTCCAATAATTTGCGGATCCAAGGTGTCCTTAATGTCAGGATAGCTAACAATTGTTATCTACATTGCAGGTGCTTATATTGGATGAGGCCGACCGCATGCTGGACGAGTATTTTGCTGAGCAAATGAAGGAGATTATCAACTCCTGCTGCAAGACACGCCAGACGATGCTCTTCTCGGCTACCATGAGCGAGCAGGTCAAGGATCTGGCCGCCGTCTCGCTGGACAAGCCCGTCAAAGTGTTCGTCAACAATAACCAACAGGTGGCCTTTAATTTGAGACAAGAGTTTATACGCATACGCGAGGATAAGGAGGGCGATCGTGAGCCCATTTTGGCCAGCTTGATTTGTCGCACTTTCCACGATCATTGCATGGTCTTTGTGCAGACCAAGAAGCAGGCTCATCGACTTCACATTCTTCTCGGTTTGCTGGGAGTGCGTGCTGGGGAGCTGCACGGTAATCTCACGCAGCAGCAACGTTTGGAGTCGCTTAAGAAGTTCAAGGAGGAGCAAATTGATGTGCTGATTGCCACCGATGTGGCGGCCCGTGGTCTCGACATTGTGGGCGTTAAGACGGTCATCAATTTCGTGATGCCTATTACCACGGAGCACTATATACATCGTGTGGGTCGTACGGCGCGTGCCGGGCGAGCTGGCATCTCAGTATCGCTGGCCGGCGAGAAGGAGCGCAAAATTGTTAAGGACATCATCAAGAACGCCGAGAGCAGTGTGAAGAATCGCATCATACCACCAGAGATCATTGAGAAGTATCGCAACAAGCTGACGGCACTGGAACCCGAAATACGTAAGTAAATTTTCCAGAATACAATTATTTTTATTGATATTGTTGCCGGTTTTCCCAGAAAACATACTCGACGAGGAGCAGGCGGAACGTCAGCTGGCCAAAACGGAACAGCAATTGTCTAAAACCGAACGTAAACTGCTGGGCCAGCCCAACGAGAGACGCACCTGGTTCCAAACCAAGCAACAGCGTGAGAATGAAAAGGCTCGTCTAGCGCTCACCTCTAACGACGATGAGTCCAAGCCAGCGCCAGCAGCTGGTAAAGGGAAGACGGCAGGTAAACGCAAGCGTCCAGAGTACGGCGGCGATGGCGAGGACGGCCCACCAGTTAAGGAGCTAGACGCTAAGCGCAAAAAGAAGAAGAAGGAGGAGCCCAGAAAGAAAACACCAGAACAGCTCGCCAAGGAGCGTGCCATGAAGGAAATTGAAAAGGTTTCGCTGGTGCGCGCCAAAATGGCGAAGCTACGCAAACGACCAGGCAAACTGGGTGCTGCCACCGATGCCCCGAAATATGTTGGTTCTACCGGAGGCAAGCCCAAGCGACGTGGCGGACAATCTGCCTTCGCCAATGATCTAACTGACGTCAGTCGCAGCGGTGCACTGCGTCTAAGGTGAGTTAGAACTTCCTGGCATTGGACGTTCGCAATTTAAACTTAATAATAAACTTAATTTATTCACCAACAGATCCGAGGCCAATCGGCACAAGAAGATGACTAAAATTGCTGCTAAGAAGAAAACAAGCAACGTGAAGTTAACCAATAAGGCGGGTAAAAACAAATTCAACAAAGGCAAAAACTTTGGTGGTCCACGTTATGCGAAAAAGGACAAAAAGAAATAATAATAATGCAAATAAAACAATGAAAAAATTAAAATAATCAGCTTAATTTACATGTAAATAAACATGAATATAATACATCAAAACATTTAACATGGATTATTAATTCGTATTCAAAGGCCGATTAAAGCCAAGCTGTTTAGTGTGACCAGCACAGTATTTAGTTTCAGCAACTGGTGCATTTATCGTCTGTGCGCCTTGGCCACACTGCGTTCTAAGCTCTTCATTTTATTTAGTTTTTTGCTTTACACTGCGCAATTTTTTTAAGCAGTATAATTGGGATGTACTAAAGAAAATTGAATTGGACGCGCGCAACTAAAACAACAAAATGAACGACAAATGTATTTTTGGCCCACCGCCGGACTCGGATGATTCAGACTGCAGCAGCTATGACGGTTTTTACTTTTCTGAACCTGTAAGCAAACTTCCTGGTTCCCTCATTTTGTTGACCACAAGTCACTTCTTATTTAGCTGAAGCGGGAGAAGTTCGTTCCGCCCGTGCAACGCGGCCAAAAGCTGCACGATGCACTGCTGGAGGGAAATTTACAGTGTGTGCGCGAAGAAATCGATGCGCTCCAATTCCATGCGGATGAAATCGTATGTGGAGGCCTCACGATGCTGATGTATGCCTGTCGCGAGGGGCACTACGAGGTGGCCGCTTACCTGGTCAACCAGCTCGGAGCGAATGTTAACAAGCAGGTAGACTCCACAATGCCGCTGATGTTTGCCTGTGACTGCCAGGCGAACGATTCGTATGTGGCTGAGAAGCTCGTACGCTTGCTGTTGAGCAAGGGCGCTGTCATCAATGTGTCCGACAAGTATGGCTTGACACCTTTTATGTTTGCCTGCCGCAGAGGCTACACTAGCGTTGTGCGCTTGCTGATCAAAGAGGTGAGCTTCGATGCGATCGACAATCAGGGCTGCACGCCCATCTTTCATGCCATTGAGAACAATCATGCGGACATAGTCAAGTTGCTGGTGGATGCGGGCGTTAATGCCAGCCTGGCCAACAACAAGGGCTACACGCCCAAACAAGTAGCCGAATTTCATGGCTTTTACGATCTGTTTGAGCTGCTGCCGCGTGATCCTGCTGCCACTTACATGGTGCCGACGGAGTTTCTCGGCTACAACACGCTGCGTGATCATGTGCCACGCATTTTCCTGAAAACCGAGTGTCCGGAGTACTTTCAGGAGCTGAGCGGCATATTAAACTCTGTGGATATGGCAAATATGCTGGAATATTTTGCCAAAGCGCGCACCTCACTGGCCGAATTCCTCATTATGGATGAAGAAAAACTCAGCAAGATAGGCGTAACGTTTCCAATCTATCGTAACAAGATCAGGAAGGGCATACTAGAGTAAGTTCTAACTGAGTCCTAAAATTCTACATTTATTAATTTACTATTTACCCATGTCTCGTACATAGCTTTCATTTGCATCACTGGTCTAGGAAATCCATTGCACGGGTTAAAAAGGACGGCATGGATAAGTAAATGAAAGACACTAAGTTGTTGAGCACACTTATATACTTTTAAATTGCAGCTTCTATGAGATCCTTATGATCACCGCCAATCACTTGCAGCATTTGGTTATCATACAAGCCTCGCTGCGCTTCGTCATTCAGAATCAGCTGAAAGGCAAACTTGGCCAGCCATTGGAAATGCAGTTATCCAACTTTCGAAGCAATTTGAGAGCATATCGCGGCGTTATAGACGATCTAACCAAGACGGTTAAATATGTGAGCAAGTATATTTATAAGTAATTCGAGCCCATTAATAACCGACCACTTTAACAGCTTGGTTCGTTCAGTCCAGAAAAGAGTCCGCTTTATATTGACTACAACGAGGTTCTTGCCGAGCGCAAGCGACGCAAGGTGCGCAGCGTCTTCAAATACACAACCATTATTTTGGGCATCTCCGTATTTATTTGCTTAAAATGTAAATGGCTTTTTTAAACAGGTACCCAAGCGCACGCTCAGCACACGAATAATAGTTTTAGTTTCAAGAATTTCCGTTAAAGTTTAAACACAACGAAGTACAAATAACCGTAAACTAATCATTTCGAAAATTCTCGAATCAAAATAGATGTAGTTAAAACGCTTTATGAAATGTTATTTGAAGTTTATGTTTAACAAAAAAATATGTTAAAAAAACATTAATTGTTAATAAAAATTAACAAAAACAAATTCTGGATTTAAATCGAAGAACTGACGTCACAGTTTCTACAATCGATAAGCTATACAAACACCAGATTTTCCATTTGCTTAAGTCAATAAATCGATATTTCTCTAGTGTCATCACTAGTTTGTTTACAATGCCTTGCAACGAAATTTTGGCGCCATGATAGAGCCTGGAGTCATAAAAAAGCTAGACGAGGTGGTTGTCAATCGAATAGCCGCCGGTGAAATTATTCAGCGTCCAGCCAACGCACTGAAGGAGCTGTTAGAAAACAGTCTGGATGCTAAATCGAGTCACATTCAGGTAACCATCAAGTCCGGCGGCCTCAAGCTGCTTGAAATCCAAGACAATGGCACTGGCATACGCAAGGACGATTTGTCCATTGTTTGCGAGCGCTTTACCACCTCCAAGCTGAGCAAATTCGAGGATCTAACAGAAATTGCAACATTCGGTTTCCGCGGCGAGGCACTAGCTAGCATTAGCCATGTAGCCCATCTGAGCATACAAACCAAGACGGCCAGCGAGCGCTGCGGCTACAAGGCCACCTACTCGGATGGCAAGCTGCTGGCCCCACCAAAACCGTGTGCAGGCAATCAGGGCACTATTATTACCATTGAGGATTTGTTCTATACAATGCCACAGCGTCGGCAGGCGCTCAAATCCCCTGCGGAAGAATTCCAAAAAATATCCGATGTGCTAGCCAAGTACGCTGTGCACAATCCACAGGTGGGTTTCGTTCTACGCAAGCAAGGCGAACAGCCGACACTGAAGACGCAAGCGCGCAGCTCGCGAGCGGAAAATATACGCGCCATATACGGTGCCGCCGTTGCCAAGGAGCTGATGAACTTTAGCCATAAGGATGATATGTTCAAGTTTGAACTGGAGTGTCAGCTTACCCAGGTTAACTATGCGGCAAAGAAGTCAACGCTGCTGTTGTTTATTAATCATCGACTGGTCGAGTCGCCGGGTGAGTGGTTGACATTAGAATTGGATCGCTTGCTAATCTTCTCGAACTTTCAGCACTTAAAGCCGCTGTGGATGCTGTGTATGCCACTTATTTGCCACGCGGTCAACATCCTTTTGTTTATATGAGCCTTATGCTGCCGCCACAAAACCTAGACGTCAATGTGCATCCCACTAAGCATGAGGTGCACTTTCTTTACCAAGAAGAGATCGTTGAGCGCATCAAGCAACAAATGGAGGCTAAGCTCCTGGGTAGCAATTCTACTAGAAGCTTTTACAAGCAGCTCAAGCTGCCGGGCAGCTCGGAACTGGAAGTAACCCAAACGCAGGACAAAACTCAACGCATCTACGAAAAGGAAATGATTCGCACCGATTCCACAGAGCAAAAGCTGGATAAGTTTTTTAAGACGTTGGAGAAAAGTGATTCGGGCCTGTCTTCCAGCTCCGGCAATGAAACGCCAGTAGCAGCACAAGACGAAAGCTTTCGGCTAACAGCGGCGCGCAAATCGAAAGAGGTGCGTCTAACCAGTGTGCTGAATATGCAGCAGCGAGTAGAGCGCCAGTGCCATGTGCCGCTACGCACCATTTTGAAGCAGCTTGTCTATGTGGGATGTGTGGATGAACGGCGTGCGCTCTTTCAGCACGAAACGCGCCTGTACATGTGCAACACTTTCGCCTTGAGCGAGGAACTATTTTACCAGCGCTTGGTCTACGAATTCCAGAACTGTGCAGAGATAAGCGTGGTGCCGCCACTGCCGCTGCAGCAGCTGTTGCTTATTGCACTGGATAGTCGCGCCGCCGGCTGGGTGCCGGAGGATGGTGACAAAACGGAGTTGGCTGCCAATGCGGTGTGCATACTGCAAGAAAAGGCGCCCATTATGCGCGAGTATTTCGCTTTACGCATTTCGGAACAGGGCTGCTTGGAATCCTTACCAGCCCTGTTGGCACAACATATTCCCAGCCACGCACAGCTGCCTATTTATCTGTTGCGGCTGGCCACAGAGGTTGACTGGGAGCAGGAGGCGCAATGTTTTGAGACTTTCTGTCGCGAAACGGCACGCTATTATGCCCAGCTAGACTGGCAGGATAATGGCGATATGCGCTGCCAGCACTGGTACATGGAGCACGTGCTGTTTCCAGGCTTTAAGAAGTTCCTCCTGCCACCAGCACGACTAAAGCAGCATCTCTATGAACTGACCAGTTTGCCCACCTTATACAAGGTCTTCGAACGTTGTTAGCTATTGGCACCTTATAAATTGTATTGAATTAATAGTTTTAAAATTTGCATTTTAATCATAACAAAGAGGTTCATTAAACAATACCTATACCTAGTACTAGCTAACTATTTAACTAAGCACAACCAGCCCTGCAATAAATCGATTTAAAAATGTGTTTAAGATGAGTGTGTGTGTAAATTAAATCATGGTTTGTATTGTATTGTATTTGTGAAGTGTTTTGTTTGTGAGTGTGTGTGTGTATATCGTCTGTATCCACATATTCTGCAGCAAGCTTTGTTCATGTTCAATTCGTCAAACGTAAAACAAAATACTTTGTCTAAAGCGCGAAACCGGAAAGTGGGGGAAGCCACAGGGAAAACCATACCCAAGGCAGACCGCAAGTTTTGTCGCCTTGTTTACGTTTTCCCCATAAAATATTAGTTGTGCCGGTAATAGGTCAGTTCTGGCTGCCGTAGGCGTGTGATCTTCTCCGCATTTTTGACATGTTGCTTCAGTAGCTTCATGATCTCCGTTTCATATTGCTCGGGCGTTGGCTTAACGCCCGTCGCCCAGTAATAAATATCCCAATCGTTGCTAACGCCATTGATAAGTTCATCGTAGATCGCCGTCTGTTTGGCATCGAAATCCTTAAGATATTTGTGCGCAAAGGTGCTTAATAGCAGATCATTTTCAAGCATGCCCCGCTTGCGTGATTGATACAGCAGACTGTTTTTGCAAATGCATACATTAATCAAATACCATCAATCAAGCATCCCGTACAAAATACTCTTACCGTTGCTTGCGTTTAGCCAATGGCTCGTCCGGACGCTTCGGATACTCGGGCAATGGCAAATCGGGATCTTCGAAGTCCACAATAACATCGTCCTTGGTGCTGCTGGATCCGGAAGCACAGCGTTGCCAGGGCACAGAGCGCACCAAATTACGGCACAGCTGTTCCAAAAAAAAAAAAAATAAAAAAAATAGGGTGGAATGCGGTTGCACAAATTACGCAATCGAAATGCATTTATTTTTTTTAAGTTTACTTACGAGCAGCTGAGGCAACATTACCAAACACAAATTTTTAAAAATTCTTTTCGAAAATTCAAATTTTACGAAGAATTTTGTTTTTGTTGTTGACGGCAACGTGTTCCAAAACCGAATGCTGGATTATTTATATTGCGGAGTATTTGTTTGTTTTGGCGCCGCTTGCTTCGCTTTTAAAATGAAATATAACAGGGTTACAATCAATGTATAATGCCAGGGCTGCTGGAAATTGTTGTGCTAGCATTCAATCAAATATTAGGTATGACAAAATTGTGGCCGCCAGTTCATATATCGATATGCATTTGATTTTAAATTGATTAAATGATTTAAAAATAATGGTAAATGATAAGAAAACTTTATATATTTTTCATTAGAAGCCATTGAACACATTTTTGTCTCTTCCATGACTGCTGCGACTTGACGTTGTATACATAGATGTGACGTAGCTCTTACTCACAGTTAACACTCTCAGCATGTGCTTGCGCAAAGCGTTACCTTCCTCGCTATCCACTACATGAATCGCTGTGTTTTTTACTCAGTCTTCTTACGGTTTTCTTAGCGTGTGGTGGGACAGCGGCACGCGAGTTTCGTTTTATACGCCGACGCAAAAATACATAAATATACATGCATATGGCAAATGATATAAAAATGATGTAAAAAATAAATATCTGTATGTATGTAGAGGCAACGCCGTGCTTACATTTTGTTTGAGCCTTGTGCCTAATTCCCAGTTTGCGTGTGTTAGTGTTAAGTGTATTGGTGTGTGCGCCTTTGTGTGTGTCCGCATATATTTGTTATTCGCGCGGCAAAAAGAAAAAAACAACAAAACCGTTTAAAAAGTAAACAAAAAATATCGCTGCCACAATTTGCGGCACAAAAATGCTGAAAATATAAACAAAACAAAGTACATTTTAAGCAATAGTTGCTTTTCGTGTGTGTGAGTGTGAGTGCGCGCTTTGTTTTTGTCTTATTTTTACGTAAAACAAAAACCACAACAACAACAACAGACGCCGCAGCAGCCAGCGCAGCAGCGGCAAAATGCCGGCGACAGCGAATTTGTGCCTGTTGTTGTTGCTGCTCTTCGTAGTCGCCGTCGTCGCTAGCAGCAAATCGAAGCAGCAACAGGAGTCCGGCTCCACAGCAGCAAAAACAAAAACTCTGAGTCCCTTGACTGAGAAAGGTAAGCCTTAATTTGTTGTTAATCTCTGCTGCGGTGCATTAACCCGACAGCAGTGACGTCGTCGTCAGTGTTGAAGTCGCTTAGCGTCGCTTGAGTAAACATATTAATGCGCTCTCGCTCACGCTTTACCGTTTGGGGTACCTTTTTCTCGTTCTTTCGCTCTTGCGTAGGCCAAAAATAACAAACAGCGCCACGCCTGCTTCCCCTCGCGCCTTTACTTTTGTTATGCAAATTCTTTTCCTCGTTTCAAAAATATCCACAAACAAAGAGAAAAAAAGAAAACACAATTTGTTTTGTTATTTTTCTGCATTTGCTTGGAATTTTATTGCCGCGGCAAGTGAAATGTGGCGTACGCAAAATTTTTGCAAGACAAAACAACAAAAGCTGCAGCAGCCGATTTAACCCATTGTTACCATGAACCACTCCATTGGCTATTTGAATGCCAGCTAATAAGCAAAAGATAAATTTAAATAAATATGCGAATAATAAATAGGTACAATCATGTACATGTCTATAGTACATACGTGTGGAAAAATGTATTAGTGTGTGCAGCGCAATTTCTCAAATGCGGCGGCACCCGACGACCTGTGGCCGCATTATGCATTCGCATGCTTCAGAACGTCAAAAGCACAAGAAGAAGAAAATGGGTGGAGTGAAGGGGAAATGAGTCAACTAAACGTTGAGCTCGTTAAATTAGACTAAAGAATCGTAAACAATATACAAATTAAAGTAACCATTTCCTCATTTGGTGACATTAAGCGACAATTGGTCTGAGAAAATAATAAATTTATATATTCTACATATAAATATATTTATTTAGATATACGTACGTATGTATAAATGTGTACACTTAAGTCCGTGAAGAATCAGTCAAAAGTTCTTTAATAACAAGACAACGAGTCACATATTCAAGAACTTTTACCAAAGTATTCAATTGAAGATTTAAAGATTAAGCAAAAAAAACAAGAAAAAATGTCATCTTGCTTCCAAATCTTAGATACTCTTGCAGATTTAACGCGAATTTTCGATATTTTTCTATACTTAATAGTTTAAAACGTTTTCGAATGTTAATATGGGAGATTTATGATTTAGTTGTTCAATATTAAAAATTAGATTTATTTTGTTTTCATTATGACGCTTGCAGTTGGCGAGTTTGTAAAAAATATCTCGATAACACAAGAACTGGTTTTCTACTGATTGTTCCTATGGCCGCTATATGACATAATGAGTCGATCATGCCGATGATAACTTACATAATACATAACACATGCATACGACAAATGACTGACTGAATGACTGAATGACTGGCTGACTGACTGACTGATTGACTGACTGAGTGACTGATTGACTGATTGGAGATCAACGCACCGCCCAAACCGTAAGAGCTAGGAAGTTACCTTATGTGATGTAGGTGCTCGTTAAAACGGAGTTTCGGGAAATTCCACCCGCTTGTGTGGAAATTTGGTTCATACTAATTTGAGGGGTGTTAGATACTTTTCGAAATATACATCCCTCCTTGGTAGTCATGGGGGTCAAAGATTTGGTGGGTGACGTTCTGTTTACAAATTTATTTCCAAAGATCTGTACGAAAAATCATTTAAGACGTATTTCACACTTTTCGCAAAATACAAGCTTCCTCGGCGATTCAAAGATTTTTTGGGCAAAGTTTTAAGAGTGATCCGATTTGCTTCAAACTTTTTTTCAAAGCTCTACACAAGAACTTCATGAACTTCACCCACAACAGTGGTTAATTAGCGAAAAACGGTTGTATGAAAGTTTTTTGCTTACCATCGGATTAAAGGTCAAAGGTTTAATAAACGAAGGTTTATGTGAGAACCTACAAAATATTTTTACTACTTCTAAATTATTGTTCGCTTGTTGAATGCCAATCTATTTTATACGACTTCTAATAAACACATACGTGTTCCTAAAGAAACTCAACAAAACGCGTAATTTATTAGCTCAACTATGTTCTTTATATTTGGGCAAAATCTTCTCAGCTACTGACCCCTATATCATATCGCTGCTAATGGAATGTTCGGCCAAAAATTACGTTCCTGTACACAAAACTTTCTAGTATTTTAAGATATCTCAACCGAAATTGGCATATAAGAGTCATGTCCTACGTATGTTTAAAATCGTCCAATAATGAATATAAAAGCTGAGAAATGTTCCAAAAGTTTTCTTAACCTTTTGATAATCCTTAAGTTCTGCTCCATGTAAATAATTAATATCCATTAGAACTTGAAACATACATAAAATATATCCGCAATCTAAAATTAGTTCAATGGCCTTTAAATTTGATTAGGAAATATAAAAAATTAGAGTTTTAAGGAAATTTGTAGCTTGACTTTTCTTGTTTCCGCCAACCATTCCACTTGCCATGCTTGGTTTCTGGTCAATTGCGCGGCCCATTGCACTCCTGCATACACTTTCCTTCTGCTCAATTCCGTCTTTTGCTCAATTGCGCTCCCCTGGCCCGGCCCATGGTCCCCTTCCGGGCTGCGAACAATCTGTAAACACGCCGCCGCCTCGCAAGGACAATTTGTGTGCTGGGTTAAAATGATGAAGGCCCGAGGCCCGTGTGAAGTGGGCCAAAGTAAAACGATGCCGCCGCGGGCAGCAGCAGCAGCAGCGGCACAAGGGTCGGGCTGAAGTATGGGCAGACAAAGGGGACAAAGGTTCTCTCGCTCGCACTTTCGCTCTCTTTCTAGATGCAACCCCAGCAGAGACGGCGGCGGCAGCGGCAGCTGTTGGGTCCATTGCCCTTGCCAACCCCCTTCCCCCCTGCAACGCGTGCGGACGGAAATATTGCGGAAATCGTTTATCATGTCGCCAATGGCTGCGTTTTAATAATTGCTGCAAACGCGACAAAACGGCTGCAGCCACAGAGACTGAGAGAGAGAGCGCCAGTTGACAGACAATTAGTTTATGCATACAACAAAATGTAAGTCACCTTTGACCAGGCCGAGTTTAATGTACCAATTTCCTATTTTCTTGCGTTTTTGTTTGTTTGTTTGCTTGCGCTGGCGCTGAGCGCAAGTTCAAGAGCAAACGACAACCTGCGCACAGACGATTAAGTAACAACAACAACAACATCAACAGCAACAAGAAGAGCACAAATTACAGCAGCAACAAACAAGTCTTTAAACACACACACATACACACATACACAGACATAAGTCACACCTGCTTAAGGCCGGGCAAACAAGCCCACAAAATTGAAAAACAACGTGAGGCTAAGCGAGCCACTGCGCGAGCGAAACAGATATATATAAACAGTAAGAGTGACAGAGAGAGGTAAAGTAAAAAGTCTGCTGTCGCTTGTGCAAACAAACAATGTAAAGCAAAAGAAAAAAAGTAATAATGCCAAACAACTGGACAAGCCGGCCGGCTTTAAGTCTTGAGCAATACAAGCAACAGCAAAAACAACTGCAGAAGAGATGGAAAACTCCGCAGATTGAATGCTCTTAGCCAAATGATCTGGCAAGGAAAGTTCTGGCAATACAGAAACTTCCTGAAACAGTTAATGGAATTTTAAGTGAAAAAGACCCCAAATCGTGTATGTTTGAGAAAATGATTTTTATTATCTTCCACTCTCTGCTGATAATGGTGCACAGTATATAAATATAATATATATAAAATACCGTTTGAAAATAAAATGAAAAATAAAAATATTACTCCAAAAAAATTTAACAAATTTCATGTTTATTTGATCATATTGTAGGGTATAATTGGGACTGGCATTTTTCGCAAATAATAGTCACCTTAGATAATATATGACGATGAAAGCAGGAGAATATATAAAAAAATTGGAATTATGTATTCATGCCTTTTTTCTGGAACGTCAGTTCGATGTCCTTATTATTCTGTTGTTTTAACTAGCAAAGGCAATTAGTTTATGCCTAAAAAAGTTACCTATTTGTCAATATATCAGACCCATTCCAAGCTATCCAGTACTATCCAAAATTAAATAAGCTACTAAAACTAACTTTTGGCTGGCCTGTGCTAATATTAAAAGAATATTCATCGTGGTACCATCTGCGCTGTGTTCTGCAAACAATGAACAATTGCCAAAGCAGCTGACAAATTCGCAATACCCGAATCCACACAAAAATACAGTAGGGCAACTAACAATCGTTTTAGTTGTATGCCTAGCTAGAACATAAATATGTGGATGTACGTTTAAGCCCGTGTGGGACTGCTACAAATGAGGTCCAGACAAACTGGAGAGGGGGAAATGGAAGTGCTGAGGAAGCGGCGGTTAAGGACATGCATCAGCAAATAATCATAGGCAAACAATTAAGCGCTGACGTTGCTTTTGGCCGTGTTATTTGCCTAACCGAAACTTTGGCCAGAGAAACCGGGCATTACGAGTGCTTGGTTTTTAGCTGATTATTTTTTGTATTCATTAGTTCTTGGAGTTTATTTTGTTGGCATCTTTATTGATTTATTGCACAATTCATTGTTGCTGCTCATTGGCTACAACTGGCGGTTGTCTCATTCGTTTTGTACTTAGTTGCAATACTTTTATGGTCTGTCTGGGTCCGCATGACGCACAACGGCTGATGATGGGACCGGTTCGGGAAACAAAGACATTCTCAGCGTCCAGAGTGTAGACTTGGTTTGCCCTATATGGTTATGGAAAAAGTAAATGTATCTTTAAACTGTGCTGAGTGTCTTTGTCAAGCTGCTATTCGAGTATAGAACAGGAACTAAACACCGAACAACTTTACTGAAGCCAGTAGAAAAGGAAAGAATCTGGAAAGTCTACTTTTAAAAATATTTTGGTATATAAATCAAAATAAAGCAGACAAATATTTAACACTCTTTTGAATAATTTGTGCATTGACTTCAATAGGTTTTTAGTACGCTTAAAAAACTAGTAGCAGTTAGTCAAGCCTATATAAATTAAGAAACTAGAATGACAGTGTCACAAACAGGTTTGGAAACATGTTGATAAATATTTAGAAACTTACATTTTAGTTTTTAAAAATAAT